TGTTTTTCATTGTGCATTTTCTTATCCATAGAGCTTTAAATATAGCAGGGATTATTCTTGTTTCACTGTAACCAAATTTAAGGAAAAGCAATTATTTATTGCATTTAAATATATAGTATCAAGTTTTTCTGCAAATATTCATCAGTGGCCATCATCTGTTTATGCAAAGAACAATATCAAGAGTGTTCAGTTAATCTTAATGGTTATTTCTGGTAGGATGGTTAGATGATTTTTTTTAGCATGCACTTTTAGGCAGTGTTTTAAAAATTTAGTTTAAATATTAGCAATGACATTATATTCAGCTAACAACTACATTATCTTGAAGTACCTGTGAAATCAAAGGAAAACTGGAATAATCAGTTTCAGTAGAAATCAGACACAGGGAGGTGATCATACTTCAAGTCCCCAGTGCTACTCAAGCCAAATCCTTGCTAGACACCCATAGTTCTACCAGTTAGCGAGAATTTAGATAGATGCCTCTTCAGTCAAGGAAGAGAAACAAGTTACGTACAGCATCTCAGGATTTAAATCCTTTCCCTCCCTTCCTCTCCTCTCATCTCCCTTCTCTTACTCCTACCCTGACCCCACAAAAAGCATCTAAGCAAAATAGACACGTTAGCATTCAGAGGGAGGACATAATCCATGTGGCTTCTGGTTTCTCAGCAACACTCAAGACAATAAGAAAATGAAGCAATTTCTGGAGTTTTAAGGGGACATAGTTGGGAGCTGGAACATGAACATTTTGCCAAATTGATGCATGTTTTCCTTTGTTTTCATCTAAACAGAAGTTTCTGAAATACGCCCTTTCAAAATATGCTACTTTAGAACCCATTTTTGAACACCCTGGGGATTGGGAGAGTTGTGCTGGCATTAACCCCCCCCCCCCATAGAACTCTGTCCTAAGGAGATGATCCAAAATATAAGCAAATATTTATGGACAACATTTTTTATTACCGTGTACATTGAAAATTGAAAAAAATAGGTAAATGTTTTGTGTGTCCATATAAATAAATGTACAGCCAGTAAAATACACTAATAGTTAATGAGTAGAACGTTTTTGCTTTAATGGTGGAAAAGAGCAGCACACAGAATTGTGTGCTACGGTTTATCTCAACTATGTAAAGAGAAAGAGGTGTTAGAAGGTAACTGGCAGGAAATGATGCAGAAACGTTGCTTTCGACTGTGGGCATTAATGGCATTAATTTTTATTTCCCAAATACCCTAAAAACTTTGAACACATAATTCAAAAAAATTTGAAGATAAAAATACAAAAAGTATATGAGGAACAATAAGAAACTGTTAATCTAGTGCTTTATAACTTCCCAGCAAAAATATTACGAAGCTTCCATTCCTCTTGCAATACACAGGAAACAAATATACTCTTAAACAATATCAGAGTAAAACACACCTTAAGACAAGAGTCCCTAGTGTGATTTCATCGATAGGAAGTTGTGAACAGGCGAAAGTGATCTGTGATGAAAAAGTGTCAGAGCAGTGGTTATTTCTGGGGATGAGAAAGAGTAACCTTTGTAGGATGACTATTAATACTAGTAATACTATATATTTTACTAACAATCTGAGTTACACAAGTGTATACATTGTCAAAATTCAGTGAATGTACATTAAAGATTTCTGCATTTGTACGTGAATTTTGCATCAAAAAATGTACATAGTCTCTTGTGGACTTTGCCTCTCATCCTCAGTCTTTGATAAGTGTCCCAAACTGAGACAGCTATAATTCCAGTGTGCTCCATCCAGTCAGCTTGGCTGTTTGAGTAGCACTCACTGTATCGTGTTGGAGTTTTTGGTTCTCTCATTGTGATGAGTTCCCGGGAGGCATGTCCCGCCTCTGGCACATTGCTGGCTTATGCCCAGTGAGTATTTAATACGTGAATAAATTTCTTTCCATCGCAGTTTGTACCTGCACATGTAAACAAAAATTTTTCTCTGCTGATGGAAACTCTCAGTTCTGTATTTTAAATCCTACTTAATAGCTAGAATTAATATGAAATCATAAAACTTAACCTTTCTATAGTGTTGTCATTTCAAGTTCTATATTCAAAAAACGTTGCTTAAAATTATATCCAAATATAATGAAGTACTATAGGTTAACTGTCATTTGAACACTATGGTTAAGTTGTTGGCCAGGTTGTGGACATCCAAGTGCCAAATGTCTCAGGTGGAATTAATTAATAGGCTACATAACTAAAATTTTTGCGACATTTACAGTAAAAATATTGTACTCAAAAACGCTTCTTAATCATATTCTGTGTTGGTTTTAACCTCAATAAAGTGTTGAAATTGATGAACTGAAGAATTATTTGAAAGCTGATTCGTTGAATATATTCAGTATTTTTACAATATTAAAGAAGTTGAATATAGTGCTAGAAAAGAACTTTTATAAGATTAACTTAAATATTTAAGAATATTTGATGTTATATGGGCGGCACCTATGGCTCAAAGGAGTAGGGCACCAGCCCCATATGCTGGAGGTGGCAGGTTCAAACCCAGCTCTGGCCAAAAACTGTAAAAAAAAAAAAAATTGATGTTATATAAAGTTATTTATAGTAAAAATCCTAAGGAAGATCAAAAACATGCCCTGATACAATTCAGGAAGAAATTTTGTGCTAGTAAAATTTTTGGCAGAATCTGAAAGCTTCAGATATACTTTTAATTGATAAAATACTTAACATATTTCAAGTGATTAACTTAAAGAAAGTGATTAACTTGTTGCTTACCTTGTAAGTTATTCAGGTTATTTCTCTTCTTTGTTATGTTCAGCTATACATTGAATTTAGTTTTTGAAATGAATTGAAAGTTTGAGCTATAGTATTGCATGCTATCTATACATTTTGTCCTAAAGTTTCTTTTATATTCTTGTTTTAGTCACTTAGAATATTGCTGTAGAATTAGTGTGTAGGGACAGGGACATTAGGTTATTGAAATTATAATAATAGCTCATCTGGATGGTGTTTTACAGTTTATTAAAAATCACATTCTCATTTTATTACGTGTATTAATAATAGCATGTATTAAATCATGCTGTGTGCCAGGCATTATTGTGCTCAGTTCTTTGCTCCCGTCATCTTATATAATCCTCACAACTATCTATCCTCATTTTACACATGAGGAAATGTGAAGTGCAGATAGGCACAGTGATTGGCCTAGGGTTATACACCTAATAATTGGGTGAAGGAGATTTGAGACTAGGTCTTGTCTGGTTTCAAACCCAGTCCTAACCACTAGACTTCCACATTTCACAAGTTAGATAGTGAAGCTTCTTTAAGAAATGCTTTTTGTGACTTAACTGTATATACATACTGTATATACATACTGTATATACATATTTGTGGATTTATCTTGGTTACTACCCTGAAGTTGCTTGTAGTCTGAGTGTGATCCACAGACCAGCAGCATCAGAGTCTATTGGGAGCATCTTAAAAATGTCTCTGGAGTCTTAGTCCAGAAGTACCAAATCAGAATGTGTATTTTAACATCTCCAGTTGAGTGGTACGGCAGTCAAGTTCGAAAAGCTCAGGTCCCAAAGACTCAGATAACTTACCAAATCAAATCAGAGTAGTGTGGTCTAGAGAGGAGTGTCCACCTCATCTGATTCTCTGAGTACTGTTAGACTGTGCTGGATGGATTTTCTACTTCAGTATTATGTGCACTGTATATCAGGCTGGGTGGATTGTACATATGATCTCTGATGAAAAGCCTCTGAATTCTTTCAAAATGTTAAATACTGCATTTTTTAGACCTGTTTTAAGGGTATTAAGAGTATTGGCTGTCGAACATAATGCCAGCCTTGTATGTGAGATCATTAACCACAGATATTGTCTGTTTTAGTTTTGTATTCCATTTTATCTATTAACTGAAATTTTAAGTCAGTGAAAATGGGATGACTGATTGAAAAACCTGGCCAGTATTGTTAGTTCCAAGGTACTGATTAGCTTAATGAAACTTGGAGGTGAAAACTTGATGTCCCACCCCACCCTACCCTCATCTCTTTCTAGTCTGCTTAATGCGTCTTTTCCTAACATTGGATTTGTCATTTTTTTAGATGTGGAAGTTATGTACTATGACTGGATTTCACTTTGTTTACATGGCGCCCTTATGGACTAGCAGGGTCTGTGCTTTAAATATCTCCTAACAGCCCAAAGTTTAACCCAATGTATGCATTCATGTATTAACAAGTGCTTTTTAAATTTTTACATAGGAAGCACTATCGTGTTAGCATGCACTACCACTAACATAATAGATAGAGCCAAGCAACCCCTAACTTTAAATCACTTGCTAGATAACTGATTTTGAGGATGGAAAGTGAATTCCAGTAATTTTACACATTGGCTTTTTTGTTTTTCTAATACTACATAAAAACACCAATAGTTTACATTTTACGTATATACTATAATTTTAGATTACACCTGGTTTTAGAGGGTTTTTTCACTGTAGTGTAAATAGAAATGTTCTAACAACTAATGGTTGAGTCAGATATTTTTAGGATGTAATCAAATACTTTAATTTGATATTACATATAGGTTTGTCCTATAATCTAGAAATTGCCTTTAAAAATAATAAGCCCAGTATCTGTAAAGATGATGGGCAGGAAAGATTTTATGGCACTGACACAAACTTAGTCTTATGCTTCTACTGTTCTTACCTACAACTCCTTTCTTCTGAGCAGTGACCTTTTTGTTCTTAGAAAAGCCTAGCCTTTTCCCGTGAGGCTGAACAGTCATTACAAGTTAGAATTTAAAAAGCTTTCTTGAAGTGAGAGCTTCAAGTACAAAAAGATATTAATTACATCAAGTAAGTACAAACTTCTAAAAAGTTGAAAATAAGGTTTACTTTTCACCTCTTCTTTATTACTTATATTTAATTACCCTAGATCAAGATTTAGTGATAAAAGTATTCACTTCTATCTTGAAAATCAGTTGATGTTAATAAGTGTGAATCAGATATTCTTCAGATTTTTAAAAATGCGTTTTATTTTTCAGCAAAGATGTCAAGGAAGTTAAGCTTGCCTACTGACCTAAAGCCTGACTTAGGTAAGTAAATTAAATAGACATTCAAAGTAACTAAAATCCCTATAATGAAAGACAAACAGGAAAATCAGAAGATTTAAGTTACTGTAAGTTAAATTTCCATATTAAAATGACTAAGATGTTTAAACATTAAACATCTTTGGAATAGCCTTTAGAATGCTATCTATAAATCCTAAAAGATAATTATAATACAAATTCAAGCAAACCAAAATAATGTGTTTTCTCAGCCCTTGATACTTTCTTTCTAAACAGAATTCAATTTAAAATTAAATTTGTGCAACTTTGGACTTTTATTAAAAGTGGTTATATCCCATTTAACCATCTAAAAGCCTATTTTGAATTTTATTAATAAAATTATTTTATACTAATGTTAGATTTTTAAAAAATTACTAGTTTTATATATTACAGTGAATCTCTCAAGAGTCGTCCTTACTGACTTTAGGTGATAATAGGTTGGGAACCTTCCTCTATAGCAGTGGTTCTCAACCTTCTTAATGCCGCAATGTATTTTCATTATTAAAAAGGGATCACTACCCACATGTTGAGAACTGCTGTTCTATAGAAATTTCTCTGCAACTTATTTACTAGGAAAGCAGGGTGAATGTATTTACTGATTCATTTTGCTCTAGATCCAGCTCAAACACAGCTCCCAAGTAGGAATAAATGACATACAGATAAAACTAAGACCTTATATAATATATAAAATAACATATAAAACAGGATATTTTCTTAAACTCATCAGTATTTTATTTCAGAAATGTCTATCACCTTTAACTGAATAAGAAGCTTAACTGCCTACTAATGATTTTACCCACTCCTATCTTAGAGATAATGAGGTTTTGTCCCTGCCTTTGCCCCAACCCTCTTACCCTCCCAATATTTATTCTTTAGATTTCTTGACTTCTTATGCACAGTACAAACTTAGGTGTTGGTCTTAAACATACTAATTTTAGCATTTCCAAATCATAGTCTTCCTTCGGTTATATTGATAGAAAGCATATGATTATGTGCAAGTAGGCTTGGAATGTATTTCATTTATAGGAAAAACAGCTTGGTAGAACTAAGGAATATCACCAGTGTGAGGGAACAAGAATTAATCATAGGATATAGAGTAGCATATATTTTAGAAAGGATGTAGTTCTCCTCACACACACACACACAAATAATAAATAAAATGAAGGGTATAATTTGAATCCAAACCCAAGTATATATACTGAGGCTTACATTGTGCAATTTTTCCTTATAAGAGGATCCAGAGTTTTCATCAGCCTCTGAGAGAGAGCCATGATTTCAGTTAACATTAACTGCTACTAGTTAAACTGGCTTTGTGTCTCTTAGTACCTTAAATACATTTAGAAGTAATTTAAAAATTACAGAAATATCATAACCAGTTATTTCTTAAAATATTACTCACATTTGTAAAAAATATATAAGTAATTTAATCAAAGTATTAAATATTTGTATTCCATATTTTTACGTGTGATCTTTATTTAGTTTGTGGCTTAGCTAGCATCTCAGGTATTTTAATGCCCTAAGCCAGCGTTCTCAACCTGTGGGTGGTGACCAATGAAAATACATCCTGCATATCAGATATTTACATTATGATTCATAACAGTAGCAAAATTACAGTTATGAAGTAGCAATGAAAAAAATTTTGTAGTTGGGGGTCACCAGAAGATGAGGAACTGTATTAAAGGGTTGCGGCATTAGGAAGGTTGAGAACCACTGCTCTAAGCCAATTACAGTTTGATTAACATATGCATTGCTTAAATAATTTCTACTTTTTGGTGGCAGTTCTTGGCTGCTATGTTATACACTGTTTGGAGAGGCTATGGGGGATACCCCAACTCTATTGATAGTTTCAAACTGCCAGATGTTGCTAAGTAGCTAAGGTTGTTGGGCTATCCTGCTGCTCTGGATGCTTCCATGAATGGAATTCATTTTTGCTTTTGGAAATTGTGACCACCACACTTTTACTATCGTTTCCCTCTCCTGGGTCCCATGACCCACCTCAGGAACCACAGAGGATATTGTTATACTTCTGAAGTCACTTCTCAAATGTTACCCAAAAGGACACAAAAATCAACCTGTTGTTTAAACCTTGGTGTAAATTAATTTCTTATCCTAATTATTATGCTGAGCAAATTCATCTTTTGATGTCACGTTTTGATTTGGTTATACAGAATTTTGTTGTGCACGGCTGTGTGGGGGAAGGGAAGTGATGTGTGCAAATAGAATGTTCTAGGTACCCAGGGGCAGCATGAAAGCACTAATTTTATAACATGATTGATTTTATCAGTCGAGTTGGATAGAGGCGCTAATGACAAGTTTTATTAGAGTTTAGATCTGCCAGAAAGATCACATATCCAAGTACTTTTTTGGCATCTAAAGACTGAACTTTAATGCTCAGTTAAGATCCATAACCTCCCCACTCTGTGATACTATGTACTGGTGGTATCACTGTCCACAGTTGCCTAACAGGACGTTTTAGACTTGAACATGAACATAAATCCTGACTCTGCTGTTGACTAGCTTGCTCATTAAGGCAAGTTGCTTAACCTCTCTGAGCCTCTGTTATTTGTTTAATTGTAGTCGTAAAACTTTTCAAAATAGTTAGTGGATTTGGTGACATGATAAATGTAAAGCATCTTGATGGCCTTGATAGGCCTCGTTTGGTGACAGCTATTTTCATTTCTGCTCGTGTTACTAGAAGTATGCATATTAAACATTTTATTCCACTTTTTTAGCTTGACAAAATCTCTAAAAATCAATTCTCAAGAGACTCATGATGCCTAACTTAATAGCAGTAAGGAGAAAGTGTAACTCATGAATTGTTAAATTCTTTTTCAAACCATTCTAAGCAGATAATAAAATAAACAACTTATCTATTATCAGTTTCAAACTTGATTCTTATTCAGTCCATTTTTCCATATCAATCAAGCCTTAGGAGTTTGTTTAGTAATCTAATATTTGTAGATAAGTCATATAGTAAAAATCCAACAGTTTGTGGATTTTATATAATTAAATTAGCCTATTATAGTAAAACACTGATCATTTGGTCTGTGAATTATCATTTACAGTGTAGGTGGTTGTAAATTACCTAATTTAATTTAATAGTTATCAGTAAGAATTTTTCCACAAGGTTACATTGAAATTTGTATTACCAGCCAGGCACAGTGGCCCATAACTATATATATAGTCTTAGCAATTTGGAGGCCAAGGCAGAAGGATTGCTTGAGGCCAGGAATTTGAGACCAGCCTAAGCAACATAGTGACACTTATTCCTACAAAAATTTTTAAAAATTATTCAGTCATGATGGCATGAATCCATAGTCCCAACTATTTGGGAGGCTGTGGTGGGAGGATTACTTGAATTCAGGAGGTCACGGTTGCAGTTACAGTGAATTGTGCCAGCATGGGTGACAGAGCAAGATCCTGTCTCAAAAAATAGTGATGATAATAAAAAGAAATTTATATTGTTAAATTTTCTTGTATCTTTGTTTTCTATTGTTATCATGAGGTTACTCCTGAAATATAATGTCCGTTCACCTTGTATGTGTATGCTTTATGTAGCAAATTGTATTTATCTGTCATTTGGAAAGAAATACGAAATTTTGGTTATCTTACTAACAGAATATCGGAAGCCATAAAGAGTTAATAAATATTTATAATCAATATCATATCACAAACTGATCCAGTAATGAAGTTTTGATTATGGAAAGTTGTTTCATTTGCAGTTAGTTCTTTTCTACTGTGTTACAATCTGTAACAGGAAATGTAATCCAAGGCAAAAGAGTTTTTAGAAAGTACAGTTACAAATGACCCATGCCTTTGACATGACTAATAATTTTATTATTTTCAGAGATTAGCTATAATCAAAATTATGTTGCATCAATTAGATTTGTGAACTCATTCTAGAAAAACCGCTACATACCTCATTGCTGAATATCACTACAGCCAACTCGCGAGTGTTGCCCTTGGGAACCTATGCACCAACACCAGTGCCTAGTCACCTCTTCCAATCAATTTTGGAACTCTTTTTTGGAAAGGCCATCAGAGCTGTTACCGAACGGTCTGACAAGTTTGCAAATTCATCCTAGAAAAAACCCTACATACCTCACTGCTGAATATCACACTAGTCACACCTTCTGAGCACTTCCCTTGGGTATCTGGTGACTGTCACGATATTCACCAATGAAGTATGGTGCACTTTTTCTAGGATCCGTTCATGAACTTAATTGTCTGATGTTTTAGTTATTTGGGAGGAATATATTTAATCTGTAAATCTAAATTTGATTATAAAAAGCTTTTGGAGGTATAATAAGGATTTAGTTATACATTTCTATTTAATAAATACCACTTAGGAAACTTTAAGATGTTTTTCAATGTTTTTAATGACATGAAGAGTCATTTCTTTCACAGTAGCATTGAATAGTCATTTATTAGCTGTCACAGTAGAAGCTGTTAGGAATTTTAATGTATTCTAATGATGTAGCAGAAACAGATTGGTAGATATTCTTAACTATAGATCTTTAACAAGTTTTTATTACAACTGTGCTGAATTTTTGCAGGGTATCAAAATGACAATATCCTTGCATCCCAGATGCTTGCAGTCATTACAAGCGGGCTATGAAACAAGTTAGAAATGACTATAGACAAATATAGTATGAGTTCTATCATATACTTACACAAAGCTTTAGTGATTCAAATGGGAGGAGAACTATGTATGGTTGTAGGAATAAGCAGAAACTTTAGGAAGATGACAATACTTGAGACAGAAAATGAATCCTGACAGACAGAGAGCAGGCTGATGAAGGGGCACTGATCAGAAAATCACAAGAAAAAGCCTAAAGGTAGATAAGCAGATTATATTTGGAAACAATCGAATGTCTCCCTTTATTTCCCACAATGAAATGAAGCAGGGCAACACTGGAAGTTAGAGCCAGGTTAAATATATTTTGTGAAGTCTTTAAAACTTGAGTAAGATTATGAGCATGATGAAATAAATAAAGAGGAGCCAGTGTGGGTTTTTTTTTAATCCAAGTGACAGAATTAAAACCATACCTTATAAAATTTACAGTGAGAGACTAAAAGTGGGGAATCATCCAAGTTAAATGATGGTAAGAGCCTGAAGTTAGGATAATGGAAGTAGATTGGCAACTCTGAGAAGGAAACAAAACATTATAGAAAAATACCAGGGGGTTGGCGTTGCGTCGAGTGTCAGCAAACCAAAAGGGCAGATTCAAAACGGTGGCTCATCCTAAATATTGTCCCCTACAAGATCAAGGGGGTCATACATGGTGCCATTAGAGAAATTCAGTGGTTTGGGGAATGGACATGTTGTGATTTTGCATAGTGAGATACATAATAACAGGAAAAATAAGTTCAATAAGCATTTCAGAGAAAAAAAAAAGACTGGCCACAAAGAGGGTAGTTGAAGGTGAGAGAAGGTTTATGAGTATAATTCTCAAATATCTCTGTCATTACTGACAAAGCTGGAGAAAGGGAATACATCTGGTGACAAGGATGAGCCAGAGAGCAGTTATCCATTTTGATGAAAATACCTTGTATTGAATGTTGATTATAGTAAAATTGGCATTTAAGAAAAATGGAACCTAAAAAAATAAACAATCCATCATATAGTAAATTTGAGGGTAGAATGAGAGTACTTCTAAAATGTATTGCTTAAATGTGGGAAATTGAAAAGGTCCACGCTTGTCTAGCTCTACCTAATTAGTAATTGTATTACCAAAGGAAAGAAGAGCGCCTTAAGAAAGAAGGTGATAAGGGCTAAAATTTAAAAAGCTGCCTGAATGCTAAGGGTCACACATTCAAAAATTAATTGGGATACACCTAACTCAGTTCTGAGGACTGTGGATTTGAGCATTTGCATTTTGTTTCTGAGGAAAAGGGAAGATGTATTAGCATAAAAATAAATAGTTGCTCTTTTCAATTACAGTTGACTGTTGACAGTGGGGGGATTGAGGATGTTTACCCTCCTAAAATCCACATAGAACTTTGAATCTACCAAAACCTAATTCATAACAACCTGGTGTTGACTGGAAGCCTCACAGATAGGGTAACAGTCTGTTAACACATACTTTGTATGACATATGTATTATACACTGTATCCTTAGAGAAAAGAAAATGTTATTAAGAAAATTACAAGGAAGAAAACCCAGTGTTTACTATTTGTTAAGTGGAAGTGGATCATCACAACGGTCCTCCTTGTCATCTTCACGTTGAGTTGGCTGAGAAGACGAAGGAGGGTCGGTCGGTTGGTCTTGCTGTCTCAGGTGGCAGAGGCAGACGAGAATCCACACACACGTGGACCCATGCAGTTCAAACCACTGTTGGTTAAGGATCAACTAAAAGAAATTTAAAATTAAATATGCTATAGATTTTGTGCTTTTGCAGACTATTAGACCAAATTTATACCCCCAAAATGATATTTCATAATTTGAGCAATCTTGCAACATTGTAAACCTTTTCAGATGTAAAGGATAATTCCTTCAGCCGATCACGAAGTTCCAGTGTAACCAGCATTGACAAAGAATCACGAGAAGCCATCTCTGCTCTTCATTTCTGTGAGACTTTTACTCGAAAGGCGGACTTGTCCCCTTCCCCTTGTCTGTGGGTTGGAACGACTCTAGGAACAGTGCTTGTCATCGCACTGAACCTTCCCCCAGCAGGAGAACAAAGACTTCTCCAGCCAGTTATTGTGTCTCCAAGTGGTACGTATGTTCTGCCCTGGTGCTACACTTACATTACAGTATAATTTATGAAACTCTGATTTCATAGAAGCCTTTGCTTTTTGCTTTTCAATCGATCTTAGAATTCTAAAACGTAAAGTATGTGGGGATAGTGACAGACTTATGCTTTAAATGAAGGAATACATAAGATTTCAGAATATTGTTTATATAGCCATTCAGATGTTACATTTTTTAAAACTATGAGGTCTTGTGTAAAATAATTACTACTTAAAAAGTGAAAAAAATTATTATTATAATAGTTCATTTCTGATACCTTAAAATATTATATTCCACAAGCAAAAGGATGGTACATATTTGGAAGAAAAACAGAAATATATATTTTTAAATGTTCTACATTGGATTTTTTCTCATCTGTAAGTGTGAAATCTGAGATTAATTTTTCTTCTTTGAAGTATTAGGATCAGATGATAATAGCAAACATTTTTAAATTTATAGTTTCATATGTTAAAGAAATGAGATTGGATTTTGTCAAATGTTGTCGTGTCAGGTCTGGAATTAACTGAATTCTGGTTTTGGTTACTAATCATTTGTGCTCATCGAGATAGAAGCAATCATGATTTTGCTCATTAATGTATCTCTGGTTTGCAGGGTGGATTTTTACAACTCTTTGAATTTATAATTAAAATGTAATTATCATTTTAAGTTTATTTCTGGCCTATCTTCACATGAAGTAGACGGTTTGATTTATTAATTCAGCTCAGTAACAACTTGAGTATATACTACACGCTCGGTTGTTAAATAAAACCATGTTGCTTACTGACGATATTCTTACAAACCTCACTTCTCAGTAACCATCAAATATGTGTAGAGAAATGAAAAAACTAGAAAGATGAAAATCAAAATGTCAACAGGAATTATCGTTGGTTGGTAAGATTTGGGGTGATTTTTCCTTTCTTTTTTCTGAATTCCAGTTTCTAGATTTTCTACAACTAGAAAATGCCAGTTTGTATAAGGAAAACATTTATAAATAAATATGATGGAGAGGGGTTAAATATAGATTACTTACTATTAATTACAGTATTTTTATATACTATCTAGCTTACAATAAAATCAAATCAGCTATAATTCTTTGATACAAAGATAATTTCCATTTCTTCTTAACAGTAAGATATTTGAGGCTATTTTTAATACAATGGTTATTTAAAAATATGTCAGTGACATCACAATTATCTGCATTGGAACTATGAGAAAAGAGGTATTTTCAAGCAAATGAGCTTCTGTGCTTAAGAATTTAAAATGGTCTACTTTTTTCACTGTTGTTTTCTATTTTAAGACAATTCCCACTATTCTACTGGGAAACATACTATAATCCAGTCAGCTACAGGATAAGCATATATTTAAATGTTATTTTGAGCCAATTTTTAAAAATCCACAGACTAGAACTATATAAGTGCTATGAACAGTTCTCAAATTAGCATGGATTAATCAGCTAACCTTATCAAAACTTTAAAGGCAGAAAGACTCTTTAAGTGGACTAGAATAAAAAATAAAGCAATCATGAAAGAAAAGTTAGCTTTAGAACATTTTTTGAGGTAGTGATTAAAACTATGAGATTGTAACTACCATTTGTTTTTTATTTTCCTACCAAACTGCTTAAAGTAGTCAATTATCTGCTTGCCGAATAAAAGGCACTTTTTAAATGAAAGTAACATAAATGTGTCTCATTTATGCTGGGAAAAGCATGTGGTGTTTGGGGCGTACCTATAGTAAGAACTATTTATTGCTCATCTGAAATTTGAATTCAGCTACACATTCTTCATTTTATCTGGCAACCCTACAATAGACAAACCATAAAAATGAGGAGAAAAAAGAAAATATTTGTCTTCTTAGAAAATTTTTGAGAAAACATCAGGAACTCTTCTTAGAAATAAAGGATAATAATTTATGGGAAAATGTAAGCTATAAAACATTATGTGAATTTAAATAATAAAATATGAAAAATCTTTAAAATAAGACGTGGAATGCTACACCAATTCTCTACCCGCCCTTTCACTGTAGTAATTTTATCACTTAGTTTACTTAGAAATGAGCATAAAGCCTATTTGTACATTCCCGAGCATGTGGGAGAAACAGGGTACCATTAATTAAAGCAGGTCAAGAAATGTAATCCATGGCTCAGCGCCTGTGGCTCAAGTAGCTAAGGCGCCAGCCACATACACCGAAGGTGGCGGGTTCGAATCCAGCCCAGGCCGTCAAAACAACAATGATGGCTGCAACCAAAAAATAGCCAGGCATTGTGGCGGGTGCCTGTGGTCCCAGCTACTTGGGAGGCTGAGGCAGGAGACTCGCTTGAGCCCAGGAGTTGGAGGTTGCTGTGAGCTGTGATGCCACAGCACTCTACCCAGGGGGATAGACTGAGGCTCTGTCTCAAAAAAAAAAAGAAAGAAATGTAATCCATAAATTAAGACTATAAACTTACCAAAATAAAACCTTGAATATATCTGACATTTACTGGTAAATAATTTAAAAGGAAGTTATGATTTTAGAAGTAATGATTAGAAACACGCTGACTTTTTTTCTCATTGGCCCCTTGCATCAATAGTATTAGAAATGGAATACAAGTCACATATTTAAATTATCATGGAGCCACATTAAAAGAAGTAAAAAATAGGTGAAATTAATTTCAATAACATTGTACTTACCACATTGTATCCAGAATATTATCATTATAGCATGTGGTTATTATGTTTAAGTTATTAGCATAGTGTACATTTAATTTGGGGAGTATTAAACTTCAAGTGGTGTGTGTGCAAACCCTCTTAATATACACTGCCGTTGTCCACCTTCCTTGGACAGGGCACATTTCAAGGCTCTGCAGCCACTTGGGGCCGGGAGCACTGTACTGGCTGCTTGCCACAGATGCCATCCACCTGCTCTCAGACTTGTTGGTAGTGTCCTTGCTGAGGATGAGAGGAGACAGTTCCAGATCCCCCAGCATGTAGGTTGTTTATTCATCTAAGGGTCAGATATATGTTTGCAGAATTCTCCCAATTATTTAAATTGTGAGTGATCAGTTAGTGGCATTAATTCGTAGGGTTGTGTAATGATGATTTCTTTTTCCAGGCTCAGAAATATCATGCCCTGAGTTTGAATCCTATTAATGAGCTGGTGTACAATGTCAGTTGATTATGCATTCAATGTATTTTTGAGTGTCTGTTATATATGTCACAGTTGGGATAAACATATTTACTCTGGGGATTAAAAAAGTTATTTACTATACTTCTGTTTTTAGGTACTATATTGAGGTTAAAAGGTGCAATCTTGAGAATGGCATTTCTGGATACCACGGGCTGCTTAATACCACCTGCATATGAACCCTGGAGGGAACACAATGTTCCTGAAGAAAAAGATGAAAAGGAAAAATTGAAAAAACGGCGACCTGTCTCAGTATCCCCCTCCTCTTCTCAGGAAATTAGTGAAAACCAGTATGCAGTGATTTGTTCTGAAAAGCAAGCAAAAGTAATCTCACTGCCAACCCAGAACTGTGCTTACAAGCAGAACATTACAGACACCTCGTTTGTGCTGCGTGGAGATATTGTAGCCCTGAACAACAGCATCTGCCTTGCCTGTTTCTGTGCCAATGGGCACATTATGGCTTTCAGGTAAGGGATTTTTTTTTTATACACAGATACAGCATTTCTTCTCTCTTGAATTCTGTTGCAGAACTATATTGAAAGAAATACCTTTTTTGTTTATAGTCTTATCCACTGAGAATTTATTTTCATTCAGTTAATAGTGAACAAGTATATGAGAAATACATTATTTATCTCCCACTCAAGCATATAAACAAAATCATAAGATTTATACAGTCTCTGCCTTTTTTAGCTCGACTAAAACCGGTTTTATTCATAAATTTTCCATTTTTTCCCTAAGTTTGCCGAGTTTAAGGCCTCTATTGGATGTGTACTACCTGCCCCTTACCAACATGAGGATAGCCAGAACGTTCTGCTTCACCAACAACGGACAAGCGTTATATCTGGTTTCACCTACAGAAATCCAAAGACTGACTTACAGTCAAGAAACCTGTGAAAATCTTCAGGTAAATATCAAAAAGAGTGCAGTAATTTCCTCGGAGGTGAACTACTCTCTCAGGGCCCTTAGGCTCTCCATCCTTATTCTCACGGAGGTAGACAAATGAGCCCACGTGGAAAATCTAAAACCTTGTAATTAGACTTTCAGAGCACATGCTTGGAGAGTCCCACAATTAAAATGCCTTCCACAGAGTTTTGTTTTAAGATCAGCTTCATCGTATTGCTCAATATTTGTCTTTCCAATGACAGCAAAGAGAGATGAGATGTTACAAACATTTTGTACTCTCCACATAGAATGAATGTCTTCTACACACACAAGTATGTTAATGTGAAAATAATTGTATCTATTTTCGGGCAAATTATGTGATCCCATCTCATATTTAGTACATTTACAATGAAATTTACACATGTAAGAAAAAATATTTGGTCATTTTTTTTCTCCAAGTGTTGATCTATTTTTGAGAGGCTATAAACAAATTTTTTAAATACAGAACTATTGTTTTTTAGTACTTGACTGCCTTATGTGATTATTTAGAGATAATCAATTTAGCTTAATATTTCAAAATAAAAGTGCTCTTAAAATACTGAGCTAAAATATTGATTGACATTTGATATTTAGAAGAAACTCCTATCTAAAGGCACTGTATAATGAAAAATTTGCTATTAACTAACTCTATTTTACTTAGGCCTATTATTTTTGGAACATGGACTTTGGAGTGAGGGAGACTGAATTCAAGTCCAGCCTTTCTAGACAATTATGTGACCTTAAATAGTTACTTAATGTCTCTGAACATCATCTTTAAAATTAGGACAAAAGTAATATCTAACTCAGAGGGCACAGACAATACATATAAAGTACTTAGCACAGTGCCTGGCAATGAGCTTAATAAATGCCAGATGTTGTTGTTATTTCAGTAAGCTGTACTATTCTATAAACTAAGTCTTAAGTGATATCATAAACCTAGAGGGTAAAACATGTGCACAGCTCATATTTCAGATACAAATTACCATCTTCATTTAAGTGAAAATCATTTTTTTAAAGACTCCTCAGTTTCTGAATTAAAATTTTGCTTTTTATGGGAAGGATAAACCTTAAAGTTTGCCTTTTGGCCCATATTATTTTTCCCAGTAGAAATCAGTGAAACAGGAAACAATAGAAAAACATCACTGAAATCAAAAGCTAGTTATTTGAGAAGATTAATAAAACTGATCTCAACCCATACTGATTATGAAGAGAGAAGTTACACATTACCAATATCAAGAATGAATGAAATGTCCTTATTATATATTCTGTAGATCCAGAATGGATGTTATGGGAATATTACAATAACTTTATGCCAATAAATTTTAAAATTTAGGTAAAATGAACAAATTTCTTGAAAGTCACAAGTTATTGAAGCTCACTTTAAAAAATACCTAAATAGTCCTATATCTGTTTTAAAAAAAATGAGATTAGAAACCTTGGATTAAGAATATTCCACACCTAGATGGCTTCTCTTTTGAACTTTACTAACATTTCAGGGACAAATAATACCAGTTCTACATAAATTTTTCCAAAAATTGTAACAAGGGAATGTTTGTCAACTTATTCTATGAAGCAAACATTAACCTGCTACCAAAATTAGACAAAGTCATTATTTGGGGGAAAAAAAATATTGGCTGTCATGCTGCCTCTTGCCTGTAATCCCAGAACTTTAGGAGGCCAAGCCTGGCAGATCGATCAAGTCCAGGAGTTAAAGACCAGCCTGAGCAACAGAACAAAACCTCTATTTCTACAAAAATTTAAAAATTAGCTAGGCATGGTGGTATGCACCTGTAATACCAGCTACTCAGGAGACTGAGGCAGGAGGATCCCTTGAGCCCAGGAGTTTGAGGTTGCAGTGATGCGTGATGATGCCAGTGCATTCCAGCCCAGCCAAAGAGCAAAGAAAACAAAACTACATATAGAACGACATCCCTGACAAATTTAAATGCAAAAATTCTAAACAAAAGTTTAGCAAATTGCTTTCAGTATTATATCAAAAGAATAATATATTATGACCAAGTGAGATTTATTCCAGAAAAACAAAGTTGACTTAACACTTAAAAATTGATCAGTATAATTCATCATACTGAAAAACTAAAAAAAAGAAAAGGAAAAAGCAGGCGAAATCTAACATATATTTGTGATAAATGTCTCAACAAGGAATAAAAGGGAACTTAAAGAATGTAACATAATACTTTGTGATAAAATACAGAATCCTTTCTCCTTAAAGTCAGGAACTAGAAAGGAAAGTTCACTCTTGCCACTTATATTCAGTGTTGTAAAACTTCTACCCAGAGTATTTAGGCAAGAAAAAAAAAAAAGAAGTCCCAGTTGGAAAAAGAAAAGTAAAACTGTCTTTATTCACAGATGACATGATAAATTGTATAGGAAATCTAATGAAATCTACCCAAAAAGCTACTAGAAATAATAAGTGAGTTTGGTTTGGCAAGGATATGGGATATGAGATCACTATACCAAAATAATTTTGTTTCATATACTATTAATCAGTGAACATTTGAAAATTGATATTTAAAAATATGGGATTTACAGTGGCAGCAGAAGTATGAATTATTTGTAGATAAAGCTAACAGAAATGTGAAAGACCTCTGTCTACACTGAATAGAAAATATTTACAAGACTTAAGTAAATTAAAATATGTACCTTGGGTGGCGCCAGTGGCTCAAGGAGTAGGGTACCAGCCTGGCCAAAAACAGCAAAAGAAAAAGAAAAAAAAAGATACATACCTTGTTCATGGGTCAGAATATTGAATATAATAAGATATTGATTCTTCCAAAGTTAATCTGTAGACCCAAAGCAATTTAAGTCAGAATCCAGTGGAAATTTTTTTTGTAGAAATGGACAAGTTTATTCTAAATTTTTAAATAAAAGGTAACTAAAATAGCCAAAATAGCTCTGAGTGGCTAACTAAAGTCAAATGGCTAACTCTACCTTATTTCAAGAATTATAAAGATTTTTCTGCTAATAAAAAGCAGAAGTGAGAAGCAAACCCAGGTTCATCGTGTTTCAAAGTTTATACTCATTCTACTACCCAAAATATAGTAACTTTATAAATTCTCGGTTTTTATATTTCTTATTGTACCTTTGTAAAATTGTAAGCTCATTAAATACCAAATAAATTAAGAAAGATAAACCATGATTCTAAGATGAAGTAAATTTTTTGAATAACATATCTTTAAACTATCTCTGTATGTCACGTTATTCTTTTGATTTAGCATAAAAGATACTCAGGAGTAGCTGTGTTGCCATTGTGGTTGTCACTATGTCACATGTAGGTAACTATGAAAGGTTTGGGAGAGACTGTCGGGGCCCATGTTTCACTTCTGAGAAACACAGCCGGCAGTGTCCTTTCTGACTCGCCTGTGCAAGTGTCCGCTGCTCGGCTTATCCAGCTTATCCGTGTGGTTCCTCCCCGGCTTCATTTGTGTCCATCTGCGCGGATCTAACGTTTCTTGATTTTTGTGTATCTCAAAACTTTTATAATGACTCATGTATCAATTTAATAGATACAGTTTTAATTATAGTTGAAAAATATTGGAAATATGCCTGAAATTACCTTTGTCAGAAAGTCTAATATAAATAACAATATAATAGAAGGTATCCATATATTCTATGGTGGGTTTTAACAAGTTTGATTTATTAAATTTAGAAAGTTTTTCATTCTAGGTTTATTCTACTCTATAGAAAATCAGAGAAAAGACAATAAAAGTGTAAATGCTTCAAGTGTTACAAATAAAACTGTGTTGTCTGGTATTAATAATTATCTCCTTCCATTTGCAACCTGCTTAGAGAGATGGAATTAATATGGATATGTCTAAAGATAGAACTCTTTGGACATCCTTTAGCAACTTTCTTAACCCTAAGGAAGAAAGCCTGAAAAACACGCACTTGCTCTCTAATGATGTAATGCCAGAGTACGGCAGAGCTCCTAACCTGGCACCAGTAGTGTTCTCACTCTGCGTGATGGCTCTTGCTCTTTAATGGGCAGTAGTGCAACCCCAAAGCTGCAGTGAATTTTAATTCACTTTGACAGCTTCCCAAAGCAGCCTTGTAAATTATGTTGTTACCATACTTGTCTTCAGAAACTCTTCCTGCCTCTTAACGTATTGTCAACAAAATCAATAACACATCAGCAATCTTCTCTCCTGACTTTCACTAAAGAATGTTGACAGTAATTTCAGAAAAATCTTGTCAATATAGAAGGCTTCCCATCTTCCTGCCAGATTGCTGAAATTCCAGGTGTAGGTCGGCATACTTCTCTTCCTAGCATATGTTTATGAAAAAAGAAGTTAATATGTCTAATTTACTGATTTTGTAATCAGTATAAGCTAAAGTTTATAATTCAAGAACCATATATCATCATTATCCTCTAGATTTTTAAACTTGCTAGTAGAGAATTTTCTTCTAGCATAAGGCCAAGTTATTAATCCAATAATAAATTCTTAATAATTAGAGTTATATTAAACTTTGTCTTAAAAAATAGACTCTCCTTAAAGTAGAAGTATCATCATTGCCTATAAGGCAAGAAAACCTAGCAAAAGAGCAAGTAGCCAGTCGGTCTCAGGGAATTTAGTCTTAGAAACTCCTTATTTGAATAAGTGTAGATGTTCTTCTGTATCTGATCATTTGAAATGTGCTCAATAATTGTGACTCTCAACAGGTAATGTTACAGGCTTCAGTTAAAGAGTTTACAGTGATCTTTTGTGAATTATACTTTAGTTTCCCTGACACTTTAACAATGACAATTTGTTTTGATTTTAAAGGAGATGCTGGGTGAGCTCTTCACTCCTGTAGAAACACCTGAAGCACCAAACAGGGGATTCTTTAAAGGCTTATTTGGAGGTGGTGCACAATCTCTCGATAGAGAAGAACTGTGTAAGTTGGTTTATTTAATTTGGGTAACATATCTGTAAAACAAAAACATTCAAGCCATATACATTCTTCTTACATATGTAAATAATTAACATATTCATGTTTTAACAAAATACATAAAATTATTTTTTATCAGGGAAATACTTTAACTCAGGGAACCAAAATCAGAATAACCTTGGGTGGCTCAAAAGTAATATTCACAACTTCAAATGAATAATTTGGAAAGTACTTTCTTTATTTTCATTAATGGGATGTTCATTATTATTTCAGCACTATGATTTGCCATTACCTTTAATAGATAAACTTAACTTTGAAAAAGCCTTTACTTAAACATTTAATCTATCTTAGAAAACCTCCAAAATTATTCTAGTAATTATTTAGATACTAGAGGAGTATTTGAAATAGCAAAATCTGATTCAGTTACTACTTTCCACATAATTGACACAAATCAATGAAACTATTGATTGAACTAATAAATCGCTGAATGCTTGACCTTTTTTCCAAATGGATGTTTCTTTAGCTCCTTGAAATGGTTTCTTTTTTCTTTTTTGCTGAAATATTTTTAAAATTTTGTTTCATGTTTAATTGGAAAAACTATAATATTAAATAATAGTAAGTAGCAGTGCGATGCAATTTCATTCTAATAACTTACCCTGATGAATTTTTACATAGTTTTAATTCACTTTAAAAAAACTGAAGACTGTTCTTCCAGTCATTGGGGACTGGAGATTTGGAATAACATCTAGACTAAGCAAAACGGGCTCCAAGGATGGGGACCCTGAAATAGGTCCTCCACTTTGCAAGGACCCCTAGGGCTATCACTTTAGAGTAAGGGTCAAATAAACCAGACTAAACACATATACAGAGTTGAGCCCAGCTGCAAGTTATCTGAGTGGCCCAGAAAAATCTTCAATGTTTATTAATATTTTGCCAGATTTCTGGAATACTCAGCTCCTGGGTAGAAGCAAATTATAAAAGTATTCTATTGAAGAAGCTAACACATTCCAACTCCTGAAGTTATTTCTACAAAAAATGTTTCTTGAGTGCAATTATAGATGACTAAGAGTGCTAGTAATCAACATCATGATCAGTAAGACAGAAAAGGTAGCAGCAGAATCACAAGAACTTCAAATAGTAAAAGTTTCAAGCACAGACTATAAAACATTGATATCATGTTCAGGTGGATAAGTACCAGGCCTAACCGTTTAATCAGGCGACTGACAACTATAAAAGTCAATTCAGTGGTCATGAAAAAACTAAAGTGAAATTCTAGAACTAAAATTAAAAAGTCAATGGATGGGCTTAACTACAAAGTAGACACAGGTAAAAAAAGAAGTTGCAGTGTCTGAACATATGTTTAGATCTTCTCAAAAAGGAATCAGGAAGAAATGTGAAGAAATCAATATGTAAAGAAACACGTCTAAAAATCTTTCAGAATTTATATGCGATAACTGATTGACAAAGTTATGAAGTCTAATGAATTCCGAGAATTTTTTTAAAATTCTCAATTAGATGTGTTATATGAAAATATAGTATCCCAAAGAAAAAATCTTTATGGTGGCTTGAGAAAAATGATAGGTATCTTTTAAGAAGCTATAGTCTGATACAAGACTTCTCAACCACCGAAGATGGAAGGAAGATCTGTAGATTGACAAAAGGGTATTTATTCTACTGTTCTTTACACAAAATGAAATTCTTTGAGAATCAGACGTTTTAGACAAATGAATAAATAAGCCCTGCCAACACAGTAAAGGGAATTCTTAAAGGGTGAACTTCAGATAGAAAGAATATAATCCTCGATGGAATGTCAGAAATACAGGAAACAGTGATTTGGAAAGAAAGAAATAGGTGAATGTCATCAATGTAATCTTTATAAAGTATAAAACAAAGACTTGTGATATGTGTAGACATACATACCCACACAAATAAATCATATCCCCTAAAATGGCATAAAATTGAGCAGGTTAAAAGAATAAATATATTTCAACATGAAGAGAGATTCTTGCATTTTTTAAGAAACTTGTAAATAAAAAGCATTCATTAGCCTTAATAAGAACACATATTTCTAGAATAACCTCTAAAACCTAGAAAAAGACTTGGTGCCTGTAGCTCAGCAGCTAGGTCACCACCCACATGCACTGGAACTCTGAGGGGTTCAGACCCAGTCCAGACCTGCCAAACAGCAATGAGAACTAGAACCAAAAAATATCCTGGTGTTGTGGCGGGCGCCTGTAGTCCCAGCTACTTGGGAGGCCGAGGCAAGAGAATCACTTAAGCCCAAGAGTTTGAGGTTGCTGTGAGCTGTGATGTCATAGCACTCTACCAAGGGCAACATAATAAGATTCTGTCTCTAAAAACAATAAATAAATAAATAAAATAAAAAATAAAACCTAGAAAAACCTAATACCTGAATACCAGGTATATAAAAGAAAGCAGAAAAGGAGAGGCAGAACACAAAACAGGTGGGTTAAATAAAAGTACTTAAAGGTGTAGCTTGAATTTAAATATAAGTAATGGTAGTAAATGCAAGCAGAATAAAAATTCCAGTTAAAAGACAAAGATTGTTAGACTGGATTTAAAAACAAAAAAGGCTACAATGACTACAGGAAACACTTAAACATAAAGATACACAACTGTTGAAATTTTGAAAGATGGAAAAGCATGAACACAACCAATTCAACTGACACAACTGTATTAATACTATCAGAAAAGTTAGATACTGAGGCATTATTTGAATGCACCTAATATTTTGAGTTCAAAAATACAAAAAGCCAAACATTAACTATTTTCTAATAGTGAGAATTTATAAATATCCCCATTAGTTGATAAAACAAGTAGATAAAAATTCAGTTAAGGGTGTAGAAGACACAAATAGTACCCTCAGTGAGCTCAAACCTAACACAAGTGGATATGGAATGTTACAGAATACAACTACTTTCAAACACAAAATATTCAAAACGTGTTTTCTTTCTTTTTTTTTGCAGTTCTGGCCGGGGGCCAGGCTGGTGCCCTACTCCTTAAGCCACAGGTGCCGCCCAGCATGTGTCTTTTTTCTAGGGAAACTATAGATGCATCCTGAACTATTTTGGAGTAAAATATTGTTACATCTATAATGAATTTTAAATATTTCAAAAACTAGGCACTCAAGTGGCAGGAAAATGTGATCTCTTATCAAAATTAAATAAGTGTATAGGTGTTTACTGTACAGTTATTTTTACTCTTCTGTATTTTTGAAATCCATATTATAAAAAGTTTAAGTTTGACTTATGTCTATGTCGTTAAAAAATGTCAATTAATGTCAAAGACTTAAAATCAATTAAGACTGTATGATATGATCATGGTGCAGTTATACTTGTGATCAATAACAATGATAATTTTAAATCCCCATGTTTGAATACAAAGAAATACACATTTGAATAATCTTTGTGTCAAAAATTCATAACCATTGCTATGAATCTAAAATAATACTTAAGAGTGAAATTGGCTCGGCGCCTATAGCTCAACCGGCTAAGGCTCCAGCCACGTACACCTAAGGTGGCGGGTTCGAATCCCCAGCCCAGACCCGCCAAACAACAATGACTGCAACCAAAAAATAGCCGGGCGTTGTGGCGGGCGCCTGTGGTCCCAGCTACTTGGGAGGCGGAGGCAGGAGACTCGCTTGAGCCCAGGAGTTGGAGGTTGCTGTGAGCTGTAATGCCACGGCACTCTACCCAGGGGGACAGCTTGAGTCTCTGTCTCAAAAAAAAAAAAGAGTGAAATTTGTACCCCTAAATATTTAATCAGTATTAGAAAAAAAAACATGAAAGTGATTGAACATTCATCTCAGAAAATTAGAAATATAGCAAAATAAACCAAAGAAAGTAGAAAAAAGTTTAAGGTATTATAAAATAGTAAATATATACATAATAGAAACTATTAGCAAAGCTGCTTTAGTTCAGGCTGCATTACCAAAATGCTGCAGACTGGGAGGATTATATAACAGAAACTGACTTTTCACAGTACTAGATGTCGGAAGTCTGAGATCAGAGTGCCAGCAGGGATGAGTTTTTGGTTTGGGCCCCATTTTTGGTTTACAGACAATCGTCTTCTTGCTGTGTGTGTTCTCTCATGGGGGGAAGCAAGCATGGCCTTTTTATATGGGCTCAGTCCTCAGGACCCAGTTAACTTCCAAAGACCCCCACCTCCAATATCAACTGAGGATTAGATTTCAACGTAAGAATGAGGGGTACAAACATTCACTCCATAACAAACGCCATGGACTTTCTTTTAAAGTCTAATAAAACTGATAAATCTCTGGTGAAACCAAGCATATAAAAAAGGAAGGCACAGGAGCACCCTACTAGGGATGAGAAAAGGTGTCACGAAAGTTACTGCTATTATTAAAAAAAAAGAAGAAGATAGTAACATATAACTTTACAGTAAAATTTTTGAAAATTTTGATGAAATAAACAAATACCTAGAAAAAAAGTAACTCACCAAAATGGATAAAAAGAGAAATAAAAAATCTGAATAGTATAACTATTAGATATCAGAGCTGTAATTTTAAACCTCTCCATAAATGAACTCCTGGTACAAAGCAGGATTCACCACTAGAAAGTTATCCCAAATATTTAAAGAAAAGCATAATTCAATTCCCATACAAACTCTTTTAGAAAATAGAAGGAAAAAAGTACATTCAGCAACTCATTTTGTGGGGTTAACACAACCTTGGTACCAAAAACCAAAAATGGTATAAGTAAGGAAAAATTAAAGGCAAATATCAATTATAAATATAGATACAAAATTCAAAATAAAATTATTAATATATCAAATCCAACATTATGTAATAAAAATAATATCCCAAGACCAAGTTTGGTTTGTATCAGGAATTCAGAGTTGATTTATCATTAAAAGAAATACATTAATAGATTAAGAAGAAAAATCATGTAGCCATATAAACAAATGCAAAAAAAAAAGTTAAAATTTAATATCCCTTTCTGATACAGAGTCCTAGAAAGTAAATTGATAAATTATAGTTAAAAAACATAATACAGTGTTTTAGCTACCAGAATCCTATAGCAAATATCCCACTTAATGTAGAAACATTAAAAGATATCACAAAATTACTCTTTGATATCAAGAATGCGGCATAATGCCACTGTTACCACATGCATTCAACGTTGTTTTGAAGTCCCTGGTGAGTGTGAAAAGGAAATAAAAAATACAAGGTACAATAGCAGGAGAGGGCAAACAAAGCAATCGTTTGCAAATGATCAATACTATGACATATTTGGGAAACCCAAAAGACTCTGTAACTAAATTGTTAGAAATAATGGTTTGGCAAACTTAACGGATATAATTCATGTACAAAAGTAAAATTCAATTTGTCTCATACTAACAGCAAAAATGAAATTTCAAAAATTACTATTTGTATTAGTTCTCTCTTGCTGCTTTAGCAAATTACCACCACAAGCTTACTGGCTTAAGGCAACCCAAATTTATTATCTGACAGTTGTATAGATTAGAAGTCAACACAGGCCTTCCTGTTGTTGGCAGGGCTTTGTTCCTTGTTGGAGGCTCCAGAGCACAGTCCATTTCCTTATCATTTTTGGCTGCTCGATGTCAGCCACATTCCTTGGCTTGTGGTCTCTTTGTCAGTACTCAAAGCCAACAATGTTGGATCCTTCTGTTTTTCTGAAGCTGTATCTCGCTCTGCCCACAGCCACGAAAAGCTACTTAGAGCTTTTAATAACCCATGTGATTAGGTCAGGCTCACATCGATAATGCCGGAAGGTCTTCATCCCTCAGGCCTTAACTTAATCACATTGGCAGAGTCCATGTTCCTGTGTAAGGTAACATTCACAGATTCCAGGGGTTAGAAAGTGGCCGTGTTTGGGGGAGAGAGTGACGTTAATTCTACCACTAATAGTATGTAAAAAATTAAGTATCTAGAAATAAATATTAACAGAAAATGTTCAGGACCTCCATGGGGAAATAGAAAACTATAAAACTTTGTCAAAAAAAAAGTTAGAAGACGTAGGGTGGCGCCTGTGGCTCGAGTACAACGCCAGCCCCATGTACCAGGGGTGGTGGGTTCAAGCCCGGCCCCAGCCAAAACTGCAAAAAAAAAAAAAAAAGTCAGAAGACAAATAAATGGAGGGATATTTAGTGTTCATGGAGTGGAATATTTGCTAAAAGTTCTCTTTTTATAATGAAATATATATATCAATTACATTGTCATTCAGTTTAAAAACATTGTATTTAAATGCTATCATGTAGTAGGATTCTATGAAATTAATAAAATTTTCATTTTTTGAGTTGCTCTCCTTTATCTAATCTGTCCAGTTGGAGAATCCTCCTCAGGAAAGGCCTCAAGGAGTCTTGCCCAGCACATCCCTGGCCCTGGTGGTATTGAAGGTGTAAAAGGGGCAGCATCTGGAGTCGTCGGTGAATTAGCACGAGCCAGGCTGGCACTAGATGAAAGAGGGCAGAAGCTCGGCGACCTGGAAGAAAGAACAGCAGCTATGTTATCAAGTGCAGAGTCATTTTCTAAACATGCTCATGAGGTATGTCTATCAAACAGATATCTACGTAAGAAACCCTGAAAAAGCAAGGGTGAAAGTTACTGTATTTTTATAGCTTATTATATTTTTACATGCATGAATTTTCATATATCCTTTGTACAATTTCAAATTCCCAAGTTTTGCCACCAGAGGGAACCATTGTAAGAATAGGTCTCAATAGCTCTTGAAGTCTTTTGAAATCTCTTAGTGAAGATTATAAATTTTGAAGTTCTTAATGGTTATGGTTTTTTTTCCTCTAACTGGAACTGTTCTTAGTGTCTTCAATAAGTTGATTTGAAGTAAGCAATCTATTAACACTACAGAATGTTTCAGAATAATAGAATTTTTGAAAAATATTTAGAAACTAGTTGTAATTTATAAAAACTGTTCTGGCATGGTTTTCCTGTTTCTTCCCTTTAGATGATGTTGAAATACAAAGATAAGAAGTGGTACCAGTTCTGACAACCACAATCCAGTAAGTTCAACTTCAGCCAGAAGGAAAAAAGTTTTCCTTTTTTATTATATTGATTTATTTAGGAAAGTCAACATTAAAGGGATGTTCATCGCTGAATACTGTTCTTTCCTCGCACAATCATGCACTGTTTTACCTCAGTCGTGTGGCTTTAACTGAGGGGTGTTCACACACTCAAACTGGAGCAGGAGGTGTGTGCCGGCTGCGAATCGACAGTCTGGGAACGACGCAGGTCACAAGTGACAGACGAAGAAACAAAGGCGGATGCAGAGGAGATGTGGCAGGGACTGATCCTGCATCATTCCTGTGTTAAACTTTCACACGCCCGAAGGTTGTGCTGTCAGATCTGGCTCAGTGTTGACCTGTTTTGGGAGAGGCAAAACGTGAGAAGTCCTAACGCTGAAGTAGTCACGTTTGTGTCACTGGACTGGATCACAAACAGCTGTCTCAGACTTTTCCTCTCTTAACCGGACTGGTCATCAGTATCATTAGTGAAAAAGAATCAAACTGTTTGTTACCATATCTTTAGACAGATAAGCTGAATGGTGGGCTTTAAATAATAAAGACATACACATAGTTGACTTGTGTATGGTCTCCTCTTGGATTCTTGTTAATATATACTTGTGTTTAGTTCATATTTTGTCTAAAGCAAAACAAGACAATACATCACTTTTCATTGAAAAGAAAAGTGTAGAGCATGACCGAATTGCTCATCATTCTGGAAGTTTCCATGTAGTGGCTATGCAGTGTGGAAAGTGAGAAAAACCTCCATTGTGGTGAGGAGAATACTTCAATGTTCCTTGTCTTTGTTCTCATTAATTCAGCCGAAGGTGGATTTGACCAAAATAGGTACTGGTTAAATTTGTAGAAATGTTAAAATTGGCTAAATTTTTAATTTTGCTTGAATTTTTATAAAATGTTTAACCAAATGTACCTTTGCATTATTTAATTAAAATTGCTAAAAAAAAAAAACCAAAAAAAAAATACCCCTTTCTTTATTTCAGTAAAATGCTCAGCTCCCTTTTTAAAATGCCCTTTATTTGCTAACTGTTCCGATACACTCAGGTGATGAGCCAATTCAATCTTAGTGCACATGCTATCGCATGGAAAATTACAAGCATCTGTTGCCAATAATTATCTATAAGAGTCTAGTCTGATGACATACAAAATATTTTCTGTAGAAATATGCTATAAATCTGTACATATCCTTTCAAGGTTTTAAAAAGCCAAAAAGAAAGGAAAATACGTACACTTTGATAACTAAATTCTTTCTGTATTGGAATATAAATGCAGATTGAGTCCAGCAATGGACAGTGAATGACTGGTTCATAGAACAGCCTTCCAGACAGGAAGGAATCTGCTTTGTAGATCTGGAAGGAAGCAATCTGATAATGCTGGCAGTCGGAGATTAATTATTGATTGTTGATAAAGCAACAAAATAGCAAAAGTATTAAAATTAATGTCAATGAAATTTAATAATTGTCTTCTATTAAAAATTTTTTTAATCATTTTCTTTTTCATTAAGAGATAATCAGAGCACAAATGGATAGCAAACGTGGTGGTTGGTTTTTTCTTCCATCTGCTCATGAAAGGCATACGTAGGACATACTGACTTTTTCATGCAGTCTGTTATGCATTTTTCCTCTTTATTTGTCATTAGTGAAGCTTTTATGTTTACATTTTATAATGTGCACTACTGGATACAAAAGTTTACATCAAAGTTCACTTTAAATGTCATTCAGTAGGGACTAAAATATATGTGATAGAGATAATTGATGAAGCCAAAAGAAATATTTTAAAAATATAATTATTTTCAAAAGTTTTTGAATTTATAAAGTCCAATACTTTTTTTTTAGTTAATGTCAGCTATCTACTGAGCATTCAGCAGTTTACGAATTATTTAATTTGTATTACCTGTTATCCAATAAACCCATTGTTCCATGACATGTCACAGGAAGTGTTACATCCTTTTTTTTTTAAAGGTACAGTTTTATGAATGTCATCAATAAAATCAATAGTCATGGATTTAAAAGGAGATGAGAAGCATTAAGTAAATTAATATACTGATTGATTCTTTATGTGGAAGGTCACATTAGCTGCAATTATTTAGTTTGCTGTGTTATTTTCTATATTAACTTCATTTTTTACTGTCATTTTTGCTCTTGTATGCAAAATGAAAACCAAACTTGTAATTATTTTCAAATGGAGAATTAGATACACTGACCTGAAGTGGATTTTTAGGATTTGATAAGAAAATCCTACATTGCCATTTTGAGTTATTTAATTCTTAATCTGCAAATTATGCACAACAAACTAGGGAGTCAGTCAGGATTAAAACGCTTTTAAAGTCTGTGTGAGTAGAGGAAATAAGCTCCTTAGAGGTTCAGTCTGTAGACAACAGACAGTCTGCAGTCATAACTAACCCAGGGAATTTATCGTAATCTGAGAGTCAACATCTCTTATTTTTAAGTTTTAAATGCAGAAAGTAATAGTCACCAGCAAGCCATGATTTCAAGAAAATTAACCAAAAAAAAAAAAAGTTCAAATAGAAAATAATAGAAAAATGGAAGATTTCCGTGTGTTCTCTCCATACTGTCAGCGTGGGCTTGTTGCATTTGTCCCTGACCTTAAAGTCATTGAAGTATTCATCGATTAGCAGTTTGTCAGTAGGAAGTAGTTTTTCTATATGTACATATATCCAGTTCATTTCACTTTTCCAACTGAAATCCATATGTATTTGCTTAGAAAGTTATTTGAAATCTTACATTCTGACCAATTCAGTATATTACACCCATTTGCAGTTTTGCATTGTCTTAACACTTTTTGTTTGCATTTCAATTGTACAAAGTGTTTCCAGAAAAATTGTTATAGACTCAACTGAGCTATTACTAACTTCTTACTTTGATTTTTTTTATGGATGTGAAAAATGCTGCTACTTGTCTATGTTCTTATGTGTAAGTATATTACAATTTAATTAAGTGCAGTAGTTTAAAAGTAAAGAAAGAAGCATTTCTTTGGCTTAGAACTTAGTTGTAGGTTCCTCTGAAGTTATTTATGTGGATATGTGAGTGTTTTAAACAAGTCTGAAAGTGTTACATACTTTTAGGTTACAGGGGTGCTGGGGAAATTGCTGAGAAAAGAAAGAATATGTAGTAGACACTGGAGTTCAAAGTTTTTCCCTGAGTTCTATATTTCATAAATGTTTTGCTTAAGGCATTTCTCATGTGACATTAGAAAAGCTATATCCAAAGGTCAATTTTTTGTGGCAAAGATTTATTTTACTTTTTAACTTTGGGGACTTTATTTCTTTCTGCAAAATAAAGAGCACTGAACTTTAAACTTGAATTTTTTCTGCACTTTTTTAGGTAATGAAAACTTTTTATTATCATTTAATCCACATTTATCAGTTTAAATCAAGTAATACATGTGTATAAAACATACCAAAATCATGAATATGCTGCTAGCCGCACCTTAAACAAACTGATCAGTTTTAAAACCTTCAATGGGTTTTTATATAGTTTTCAAAGATATAAAAAATAGTAAAATAATTTGCTGTATGTTTCAGTGTTCTTGGTCTTAATTATTGCAACACTTTCAGATTTGTTTTAAGATCATACAGTAACATGTTATATTTATACATACTGCTAGAGAATATACTTTTAGTTTTAAAATGGAATTTTTATAAATGTACTCTTTAATTTTAAAAATGGTGAACTTGTTAAGTTTAAGTCAAAGTACTTAAAAAGTATGTATATTATCCATACAAAAAGTTATGTTTTACGCTTATAATAAGAAATATTGGTATCTCATATCGAGATACAATTAATTTAAAAAAAAAATCATACATCATTTAAAAAGTCTTCACACATGACAGGAAAGGTACCATTGCTATGGTTTTAAAAAACCCTCTATTGAGCATTTTCAAATATTAATATTATTTTTGGGGAAAATGCCCACAATAATAATTGCAAGATCTTTCTCAATAGCTACAGCTTGCTGTTGGATGCCTACCTTAACTATTGTTTTAAAATATAGATATATATATATTTAAAATAGTTTTCCAGGTATTTTCTTCTACCTTTTTTAAAAATAAATTTCCAAAAATGAAAACAGAGTTTATGTATTTTTGTCAATGAAGGTTTTTATTTTGTAGTTTATAGAATTTGTTCCTTATCAGTTTGATACTTGATCAATATTCTTAGACTTTTTAATCTGTATTTACTTTGGAAAAACACAACACTCTTATATCTTAAATGTCCTTTTTTTTCTTTTCCCTCTTAGGGTGTTTGTTCTATTGAATTGAAATTTATGCCCACAGATTTTTTTTTTTTTCATTTGAAAATGAATGTGAAGATACTGTTTACAGCTTTTGTTAATTGCACTTTTCATCACTCTGATCAATTTCTTGTAAAGTGCTATGGGGATTATTTTTCCTGTGAATAGTAATGATCTTACTACTGCCTCAGAAGTTTTCAAAAAGGTTCTGTGGACAGAAAAAAAGAAGCACTATTGCGAACACTAACAGTGTTAACATGTTAGTTATTAGTTATTTTGCATTATGTTGCAACCAAAACACACACAAAGGGAAATGCTTCAGCTTACCTTTCTCAGCTGAATTCAATGATTTTAATGACTTTCCAGTTGCCAGGGTTATAACTTTGCTTTCTTCAGTTACTAACACACCCTTCAATTATTAGGCACGATTCATTATTTACAAATTGAGTACAGTAGTCTGGGGCTACTTGTTAAGTGCTCTCTTTATTTTATTCTTAACGTTAGAAAAATCATGAATGTCAGTTTTGCCAGTATTTTACAATGAGGCTCATAGTTTAAATTAAAATTTTATAGTGTATGAGGTGTAAATAAATTAGTATTAATTTATTATAGATTGTTTGACTCAGGCATTTAAAATTGGTATAGGTTAATGGTCATGGAATCCTATTCATTTGGTAGTTTTTTGTTTTTTTTTTTTTAATATTCTTTTGCTATTTGTTTTGTGTTGTCTAAACCTCAACTGAAGACAATGTATGGAGTTGAAAAGCGGACTCAACATATCAATGAAAGTAATGCCAAGAGGGTAAATCATGTTTTAATTTTTAATTTTTTTGTAAATAAACAGTACTGTGATGTTTAGATGTGTCCTCTGCTCCACACGATAGCTAGAACCAGAAAAACATTTTGCCTTCTAGTTTTATTATTAGTTCATTGTAAATGCATAACCAAAAGACAATATGAAAAAGAGCAAGATCAAGTTTCCCTCACATCGTCCACTTCCGGGGCCAGCATGCGTGGTATAGAGCTCTAGCTTGTGTATACCTTCAACTGTACATGCAGGTGTTTTCAGTTGCTGCACTTTTCTAAAAAAAGAAAAAAAAAAGAAAAAGAAAAAATCTTGCTCAGTCCCAGTAACTATCTCCAAGGTAATTGCTGGAATATGCATTTTGAAATACAGTTTTAAAAAGAAAAAAAAATCTGTGTATTGTTTCATCTTAAAAAAAGAAAAAAAGAAGCACTATTGCAGACACTGACAATGTGTTAAACTTTGTAGTTATTTTGCATTCCTGTACTTTACAAAATGTCATCACAGCAAAAGGTTTAAAATTACGTAATGAAATATTTTTGTAAATAAATACCGTTACGCTGGTATTTTAAAAAATGTATTATACCTTAATGTTTCTGGAAAATGTTCATATATATGTATATGAATGTCTCTTCATGCTGAAGGGCTCTGATTGGGCAAAATAAAATACTCTACTCTCTCCTGAAACTAAATCAGCCCTTTCTTCTGGGAAATTTGTTTTAATTTTTTTTCTGAATTGTGAAACTAACATGATAGTTTAAGAAAATAATTGACACAATAGATTCCCACATATTAAGGAGAAAGTCAAGTTCATCAGGTAATTCAAGTAAGAACTGCATTTTCCTTAACTATCTGGAATTTGGGGTGAAAGTCGCCTACC